CAGGTCATGATCCCAGGGTTCTGGGATCGAGCCCCGCATCAGGCTCTCTGCTCAGCAGGGAGCCTGCTTCCTCCTCTCTCTCTGCCTGCCTCTCTGCCTACCTGTGATCTCTGTCTGTCAAATAAATAAATAAAAAAATCTTAAAAAAAAAGGAGAAATAAAAACACCTTGATTCTTTTATGAAGGTTCAAATGCAATAAAAGACACTGTTATGATGTTAATTTTTTGGACCCTCCCAAAGAATGGCTTTTGACACCATTCTATTGAATTTAAGTCTCTTTTGAGTGATCAGCCTTTTGGGAGACCTGATGTGGCCTGGATCAGGGTTGCCAACAATGCTAGTGGCTTTCTCAACATCACCATGAAAATTCGGCAGCTTAGGGGGACTAAAATTACTTTGTAGGCTTGATACCCAGAAATCACTCTGAAACTATTAAAGAGCAAAATCTTACCACATCCAGAAAAGAATTAAGGAGTCTATATTTCCCTCAAACTTTCTAAATAATTTGTTTATGTTGGTAGGTTGACTGGCTCTCACTGAAATTAATTTCAAAACTTCACTCTAATTATTAAAAGTCAAGTTAGGGGGTGCCTGGGTGGCTCAGTCTGTTAAACATCTGACTCTTGATTTTGGCTCAGGTCATGATCTCAGGGTTATGAGAGGGAGCCCTGTGGGGGACTTCATGCTGGGCGTGGAGCCTGCTTAAGATGCTCTCTCTCCCTTTCCCTCTGCCCCTCCCCACACTGCTCTCGGTCTCTTTAAAAAAAAAAAAAAAGAGTCAGCATTTCTCTTCAGAAACTGGAAATGTTAACCGAGAAACCACTGGGAGAAATGGTTCTCGCAAATTTTGTTTTATTCCATCTTCTTGCTGAAGACAGGGGTAGTATGAAAAATGGGGACTGTCAGAATGAGAAGGGGCTTTGGACAATACCCAGTATGAGGATGCTGGGGCCACAGTCACATGGGACCAGCACGAGAGCTTCCTGCCAGCTACTCCAGTACTGTGCAGCAAGCCGCCTCAGCATATCTCTTCTCCCCTCAGCTAACAACAATCATCTCAGCCTTGTATGCTCTCCCACCTTTGATTCGTGCAGCCAAAGTTTAAACAGAACAGATGTGAATCAACGTTTTCCTAAAGGTAAAAGGAGCAAAAGTCAACATCATCTTCTATTATGATCTAAAAGATGGAAATGGGTTGGGTTCTTTTCCCTTTTCTCCCCCATCCTATCCACTACAGACTCAAGCTGCCATTTCAAAACAGCCATGAGCATGGTGATTACACTGAGTATCTTTCTCGGTGGCATTTTAATTTCACAGATGTTTATGAAAATCCCAGGCATTCTTATGAGGGGTTGAGGGCAAAGAGTTCACTAGGACTGCCTTTAAGGACACAGACAAGATGGACATGTTTAATGCTCCAGGTTGAGAATAATTTTCTTAAGGACTAGGGTAGATCCTAAAAACAATAAGAATTTAATTTGTGGAGCACAGGCTACATCCTGCCTTTGACCGCAAGCCTTTGCACACATTAGCCTTGTTCTTTATGAAAGAGGCTCCCTAAGGCCTGGATTGCCCAGAGCTTAGACAGAAGTCTCCCTGCTGATAAGCCTGGGTCTATACAGTTACAGAGTATATGTGGATAAATACAGATATCTTGCTTCTCTTGGAAATCACCTGAGTGAAGAGATATATGATCCTTTTGTTGTGTATTCTAGCTGCTCTCAACATCAAATGAGAAACAGTTACTGGACTCAAATTCTAAGACAACAAGGTATTCCCCTCCAAAGATTCATTAAGCCTTTGGCATCACTCACCCATGAGAATGGGCACTAAATAAATATTTGTAGAATACGGCAAAAGAACCAGGAAGAACTAAGACTTACAATTGGGAACACTGAATGAGCTTAAAGTGAAACCAATCTTTTTAAAATTTTAATTTATTTATTTGAGAGAGGGAAAGACTAATAGAGCAGGAGTGGGGGAAGAGGCAGAGGGAGAGGGAGAAGCAGACTCCCCACTGAGAAGGGAGCCCGATGCAGGACTCAATCCCAGGACCCTGGGATCACGACCTGAGCCAAAGGCAGATGCTTAACTGACCGAGCCACTCAGGCGCCCAGAGTGAAACCCATCTTATTTTAAGAAAGAAACAACCCCATCCTTAAACCATAGCAAGAGACACAGTAAAGGAGCTATGGGGGTGGAGAGACAGGCTGAGTGGTGATGTACAAACCCCATTACATAACATGGCAGGCCACATCAGCTCCTGATCCTAACAAGGCTCACAGGCTCAAGTTTCCATCTGGTTCTTTCTTCTCATCATCATAGCCCCAAAACTTCCTAGCAAGACTGGGAGCTGGGAACGTTTACCCATGCTCCAGGAGTTTGAAAGGATTTCTCTCCATGAGGCCGA